AGTGAAAATAGTGGGCGTTTAGTATCTTTATTTTTTAACGATGGATAAACATCAAAATTTAAATAAAATTAAAACTAAGTTTGCTAAAGTTGTTTGTTTAAAAATTAATATTTAAATGTACATCTTAATTTTTTAATAGTAGTCCTAAATTATGGTTGTATGGATACCATCTGAAAAAAATGCTTTATCAAATTGTTTATCAATACATCCACTTTCCCATACATTTTTCTGTACAATAATTCTGTGGGATTTATGTTTATGTAATAATCTAATTAAGCGATAAAGGTTTAGCCTCAATGTAACTGACATAACATGACAGGATTTGTGAAAGGTTTTCCTGCCAGCTTAGCTTCAGCCAATATCGAGCTAAAATGTTTAAATCAGTAATACAGTACTTTTAATGCATTATATTAATTTTAAATTTTATTAACATGAAATATTTGCTAAATATTGATGTTAAACTTTTTTGTAAAGCTGTACAAAACGTTAGGAGAAAATGTTTCATATTTGAATAAAAACTTTAACTTTTGATCTAAAAATGTTTGTCACAAGTAATCAAAATATTTTGATTTCAAAAGTTTAATGGTTCATTTTCATTTACCCTATAAGCCTTTACACACAAAAGTAGCACGCTTTTATGTTTAATTCAGGTTTACATTATCTTAATGTTATACAAATTTTCACTTTCCAATGAGGCCTGCTAACTTATTTTTGTTTTCTACAGTGTACCAACCATAAGAAAACATTTGAAGTTAAATAGTGTGAAAGATATTTTATTGATTGGTTTCCCAGGACAAGGAAAGAAAATTGCCATGTCTGCGTTTGTTTTGAAAATCTAATTACGTAAAACTAAGTTCATGCAATCATTTATGATTGCGTTGATTATAGAAAATATGTGACATTTTATGGTTAATGATAGTACAGGTGCTACCGGTCAACATATTTTGTGGAATTATTCATAAAATTGTTGGCTCTTTTCTAGTTTTAAAGCAAAAGTTAGGTTAATATTATTCCAACAAAAGTCAAACCAGTAAACTTCAATCGTAACCAAATTATTGTTGACTATGACATTATTTTGTGGACATTTCTTCCTCCTCACCCCTTACACACTGCACAGCTGTAGAGTTGTAGAGTTCAATTCTGAGTGTAAGGTTCGGCCATCGGTCATAAAACCACTCTTGTGGGACCTGGAGATAAACTAAGGTTGTCTTTATCACTTGTTTCCCCTTCCCGCTTTGAGTAGCTTTATGATTAAATATCGATTCCTCTCGTATAGCCTCTCTCAGATCATAAGTGCATTCTGGTTTCAGTAGAACCTTTCTGATACGAATATTTATAGTTTATTAATCTAAATAGGTTATAATTTAACATAAACACCAAGTGGGGAAAAGTAAATTCCATCTTTAAGGATAAATAATATGAAACAAAGTTAATAATACTTTCTTGCATTGTTAATTTTCAGTCCACTAAGTGGATCCATAAACTAATAATGATAATTGATATTATACTTAACTGGGTTTTTTTTTTTATTTTAGGGTACAATAGTCCTAATAGACATAAAGGATTATAAGAGTGTAGCCTGATTAGATTTGTTCCCTAAAAATACTCCAAACATTCATAATGATGTTGTTGTACCTTTAGGGTATATTTTAGAAATGTCCTGTGAATGTCTAAGTGCAATTTTTCGTTTTTTAACCTGCTTCCATAAAATTGTAGTAACAGTTAAAACATTACACAGATTTACATTACCATTTGCACCAACAACTATTTATTCAATCCCAACAGCAACATAAAATATCCCAGCCGCACCAAACCTGCAGACTAATCAAATTTACATTTACCTGGCTGAAATTTTACTAAACCATTCCATTAAAAAAATTAATTGTGAGATTTTTTTCTGATATATACATCATGAATTTTAATGAATACTTAGGTTTGCTGCTACAGGGAAAGTAATTGGGTGTATTTGTTTGATTTAAATATTGATATCGGTAGCCTAACTTTATGTTTTTAAAATGAAAACCAATTTTTAATCTATAAACCCCCCTATAAACACTTAATTGCAATTATGCTGGTTCGCAATCTCATTTAAATAAATGTACGTTGACATGTTTATACCAAATTTAATCAAAATCGGATCATTTTTGCTTGAGTTATGCTAACGATTTACTACATATGAATTTGAACGGATGGAGTTTTTGGCTCAGGGGACCTTAAAACAAATAACTAAATCGGTCTCGGGTTCAGGTCTTACCATGAGACATAAGCCTAATATTTTATTTCCCATATAAGAAATTCGTTAAAAATAAATTCTGTTTCAAATTTGTAAAGGATTTTTTACACTCCGTTAAAAACCTTGCTCTACATAGCTGTAAGAGCCTGTAAGGTGCTATCAAAAGGATTGTTGCCGAGATTGTATAGAGTGGAGAGGTATCGAACGGTCAACTACAGTAGAAGCTGCCATTTAGCCGAATACTCAACGAGAGATTCAACTAAATATTCACCCGACAGTAGACAGCAGACCGCCCTTATATCTCACTTTGACCTTTATTCCACTGACCAAGCGTGTCATTTATTGCCCCTTAGAGCTCGATACTTTGCACACAATGGTTAAAATGTTGAGGATTTTGAAATGTGTTTTCCTTATACCATAACTATGATTTTTTCTACTAAGATCATATTTTAAATCGCTTAAAATTCACAGCTTTCAGTATAATGTTCTTAGGCAAATTAGTTTTGTGTGTGGTTGAGTTTTATTCTGTGTTGAATGGTTTAGCTATCAACAAGGAAACATTTAAAATTGTGTAAACTTGACTATTTGAGTACTTAGTTAAATTGGCTGCATTTAAATCCGATGGATTTAGTTTGGTCCTAAGAAGGTTCAATTGTAGTTACAGTACCTATTTACCAATTGGTTATTATTTAGTTATTTTGTAAACAGATCGACAGATAAATAAATGGAAAGTGTCCTTTTAAAAAAAGGTATACCAAATACCAATGGCAACAGAAACTAAATAAATAAATTGATACGATATGAAAAAAGTAATCAATTTAAACAAAACCTAGTAGATTGGGTTTCCCGTACATGTTAAAGTTAATAAATCCATGATTTATGTAAAATCAATGCAGAGACTGTATACATTTTCAAGTTATCTTCATTGGTGCACAAGTCTGTCGGAACTTTTCAATCTACCTCCCTCTGTTTGTTCACCTTTGCCTTCAGAGGCTGTTGAGCAATCGATGTAGTCAAGCAAATATTTTATACATGCATGGTAATCATCTGTCAATCTTACTTTGCTGAGTAAGCTAAGTTTATGTTAAAATTTCAGCGAGTAATGTAAACAGCAGTATGATTTATTACATCAAGAAATCTATTTTTTGTGTATTTGGTTTTCACACAATTGGCATTTTTACATTTTTTCTACTATAACGTTCAGGTTTTAAGACGAGCACTATAACAACTCATCTACCTAGACATGTTGTAGTGTCATGGTCATCAGACTACTAATCATTGACATGATCCAAGGACAAAAGTAGGTGAGACATAAGTCATTAATGAGTCAGTGGCGACTGTTGTGATAAAATAAAGCTTGCTGCAAGTGTAACCAGTAATGTATCACGTATCCGTCCAAGGGCTTTCACTTAGCTTCTATGTTCAGTCAGTTAAAATATTCTTAAATTTTTGTTAAATTAATTATGAATTAAATAAAGTTAAATAGTCAATTAATCATTAAAGATGTACATATTTTTGTTTACGGTTTAAGTCAAAATTGTTGTCCAATTCAATTAAATTCAGTGGTAAAACTTTTTTGTTTATATTTCGATATTTTTTAAAAACAATTAGTTTTTTACTCAATTAACTGTTTTTTTTTTATCAAGTATTTACTAAAATAATTTCTCCAACCACGACCTTATTAAACATGCACAATTCTGACGAGCAAGTCGAGATGATGTTTTATTCATCACTTTAAATGGTAATATTCTTCGACTCGGTCCAACTTACCTCCAGTTTGAAAACTACTTTAGTTAAATTGATTTAGAAAGAAATACAAGAAGTACTGCTGACTGAATGTTGATGGTATTTATAAATAAACATCTTTATCTTGAATTTATTTCAATGCATTCTGTAGATTGTCTTTTTTTTATGGATTTGATGGATAATTTTCTCCAAAATATGTAAATTAGTATAAGAAGAATATATAAAATATGACCAATCATAAAATATTAATATCATTGTTTGCAATTAGTCTAGTCTAAAGCAAATTTTATACAATGAATGTATGTCACAATCCCTCTTCTATAGAAGTAAATCTCAGTATGTAACATGACTATGTGATGTGTCGCAAGAAGATACGCTTCTTTGTAATTCAAGATTCCTTTTGAACATCAAAATTACCCAATGCCAATTTCCTTCTGTACGGGAATGAATCCACTTGTTCACTCTTGCTTTCACCTGAAAACATTTTTTTCTTTGCTGATCAATTCTTTGAACTAGCAGATTATGGAAAATAAGTACCCAAAAAGGTTTTTTGCTGGTGTTTTGTTTTACATAGGGATTATGCTACTGAGGCTACAAGCATATTCAATGTTTCCATGATTCAAATTGGGAAATACTTCATGCTAAACTATGATTTTAAAACTGAGAATAGAGGGTAAAGTAGTTAGAAAATGGGAATTTTGTCTTGTGAGACCTAAAATCCTAACAAATACCAATACCTTTAAGATATGCGATGATACGGTTAATGTTCCCCTGTCTAGAAATTAAAAAATGATAAGGTCCATCAGGCAGAACAATTTTTTTTAATACTCGCTTCAGTAAAATAATATGAAACCTAATTTACGACTTCCAATTTTATTTTTTTTTAGTGTAATCTTCTCTTCATTTTACCCACACTCAGGGGTTAATCTCTTAGCGAACTGAACTAAAATCGTGAGGACATGTTTTTTTAAGTAAAGTTGTCGACTTCCATGGACTAATGCCAGGGTATATAGGGATATTTTAAGAGCCAAAAATGTGATATCTGTGAAAAAAGTGAAATATCAGTGATGCCGTCCCCTGGCTACGATACGACACGGCGTCTTGCCAATACAAACCAGAGCGTGTTGGCGCTACTGCAGACTGTGTGCGCAGGAGATACTGAAAGCTTTCTGCGCCAGCTTAGACTGCCTGGAAAGAATGGGATCAAGACTTGCGCCTGTGTCGTGCACTTGCTATTACTGCAGGTAGGGTACGGGAGGAAAGTAAAGTAAAGAAGTGTTTGGTATACTATATTTTGGTATTGTAGTCAGTTTTTGTGTTTTCTGAGAACTTACTGATAGACGTAATATATTTGTATTTAACTTTTGATTTTATTATTTGATTTAACCAGAGTACAAATTTTGTGGCATGACAAATTATTACAAACATGTTCCATGTAGATCAGTTCACAAGCATCCACACACTGTCAGAGTCATGTCATTTTGCATTTCTCTGATTGTGATTGAATGTCTGCTGTGATTCCGTAAAGAAGCATCAATCATCACCAACATTGAATTTGGAACTAAAGATATACAATTCAGAGGGTATATTTTAATTTTGTAGTATATTGAAAATATAAATATATACATAATATTACTGTACCGAAATTCATATCTGCCTCACCATACACTTGAGCTTTAAAGGGCAATGACAGCCAACATGAGTTCAATAATAAAACTCTCATTTATTCATGCCAACTTCACTTAACAAAACATCTGGAAACTGTGTTACTAGTGTGTTAAATCAATAAACCTGATCTTAAATGTTAAGTTAGAAGTCTAAGGTATTGTTTTCCTGGCCAGAAGACATAGAATAAGGGTTTGTGTCCCGTTTCGGTCAGGACTGAAGCAACACACGAGAAGATCATCTGTGGTCGAGCTTGGCGAGAGAGGCTTACCTAAAACAAACTATTGACGGCTTGGATAAAAGTTGATGGGGTGGGCAGACTCTTTAACTGAGGGTTGCTGCTTGTATTCATAGTCTGTGTGTATGTCCACCAAAAATTTGTTATTAAGAAATTATTTTTTTAAATCCATACAATGAAGAGGAAATGTAAGTTGACCAATACTTACTGGGGTACAATATATTTCCCTATTGCAGCTTTCTAAAAAACTTAAAAATACTTGTTAGTTTAAGAATTCACTGCAGATGAATTACTCCTTTTAGGGCTGAAAAGCAGTAGATTCTGTAATAAATTGTTGTTTTTAAAATGACAACCGACGCAGGGAGGGTGAAACGGAGGGAGACAGAGACGGACACCTGGTGTTGACAACCTGGTATTGTTGTGGTGGGTCGTATACATCAATACTTACCTTCTCTGAGTTTATTAAGTGCATCTACTGTATTATACAACTATACATTATATTGCATAGGCCTACTACAAAATGTACTTCAATCACATATTGTAAACTGAAAGTTTCTCGGTGCGTCACAAATACATATTCCCAGATATGTGTAAGTGAGAGTAGATTGGTGATAGTAAGTAAATATGGTTTTATTTCACAGTCAAATTAATCATGGTGTGACGATTATTGGGTGTCATTTTATTCCTTGCTTTGCTCTCAACTATTTTAATTTAAAGGTTTTTTTAACTGTTAACATTTTTTATTTAGTTTAAATAGCATTACTATAGTCACTTTGACCAAACTGTTGGCCTGCCTATCCAGGGAAAATTCTCTCTCAATTGAAGACTACTTCCCCGTGTTGAAAAACATTCAATTCAACATTCAAAAGTTCAATATCGGAGAATCAATATCACTCATTCATTATATGAATGAATTGTTATTATTGCTTCTGAGTTTGTTACTAAATAAATAAAACTAAAGCCTTAGGAACCAACTGTCTACCAACCTGCTGTTTCACACAATCCAAAAACTTTTGGAATGTCAAGTTTGTTGGGGTGAAGTTAAATGTGTTTAACTGTGAAACTTTGTCAAACACAGATGAGGTTTAGTGGTGGGTTCCTTCACAAAATTATTTATCGCGCTTTCCCCGATGAGAAATAATTCTTAAACTTTATCCTCCTTGTTTGTCTCCCTGTATCGAGTTAGAGTGAACTTAAGTTAACGTCGGATACTTCAGTAGGACTAAAAAGGCACATTTCACAGGCTACTTAGCGAACACAAATAATTGGTAACATGAACATACAATTGCTATAAATTCATTTTAAAATTCACACTCGTGTTTTGGCATCATAATCATGTCAAAATTGTTAAATAAATCAAATTAAATACAAAAGGCATTCATAATTTTCACATCCTAGCAAGGAATTTTGTAGCGTTTTGGATTAAATCATGTGCACCTTTCTAAAAAGCCCTCCCCGGTCCCGGTAGTATGTATTATTTACGCTCGGGAACGCATATAACGTTGACATTACTGGTGATAAGTAGCCCTAACAACAGCAGCAGGGTGTGAATCAATTGGGGGCTCTCCCCTGATCATAAATCCAAAACACCTCCTCTGCCACATTCCATATTGACTCGGCAGCTTTAAACTTCCTGTACACGTGGCTTTATTATAAGTGTGAAAAACCCCCTCTGGATGTTTCTTGTATGTTGTGACGTTTGTAGTAGTGATTCGTCGATTTTTGCATATTTTGATGCCATTTTAACACTTAAACAGTGTAGTCGAATCTCTAATGCAGAAATTATTTTGAGTTGGGTGTTTCATTTTTGGGAAGAAACCAAATATATATTTGAAATTGAACACACTAGCAATGTGTAATGGTACATACTTGTAAAGAATTTATCTTAGACGTATTTATTTCAAGTTTTTGGTACTCTTTAATTAAGCTTAAGAAGATTGAGCAACTAACAAACTAATCCATCGTAACATTTGCATATTACCTTATTAGTGAAGGTTTGCTGAATGTGTTTAAAGATGCACATATTTATTTCGGCCACGTGTCAAAATATATTAAAACCCATCAATAATTGTAAAATGCAAGGTTATTGTGTGTCAGGCTCATTTGTTTAAAATTTCATTTAAGTTTCAAACCAACAGAGCACACTGGATGGTTTAAATTTAAACCCACACTAACTATGCTTCAATAAACTTTATTGGAGTGGCTTGTGACCGTTACTTTTAATTGCTGTGAGAATCAATTGGTCGGATCAAACTGATCAACTTCGGTGTTCTACATTTATAAAATTAATTAACTTCTTTGGATGTTATTAAATATTGAATATTTCAAACGTTGATTCCAAAAAGTCGAATATTACAAATCTTAATTGCAGAAAATTACTGTGTTACCTAGTTTTCACAAATTTAAGGAAAACAAATGTATGAATCCTAACACTCAAAGGTTATAAACCATCTGTGGACTCTTGAATATTTACAGCTCTAGCTCTGAAAAATGTACGGGTCCTTCGGGAAATAGTGTTCAACTTATGTGAATTTCGTTCTGCAATAGTTATGAGAGTGTTCCATTGGACTCTCTATTATATCAATATTGTGTGATGTAAAGAAGTTGCCCTTATATCAATTAATTTATATTCATTCAGAATATGTCTATTATGTCCGAGAAATATAGATTCATTGTCGGAAGCTTTTGCACATTTTGATTCAATTTTGATAGGTATGTAATGCAGTAAACTATTTTTTGTCCATCTGTTGCCGAGTAGCCTGAATAAATTTTTGAAAATGTACATTTAAAAACGTTGGTCCTGTTGTTGTTGTAAAGTAAATTTGACTCCCTAATCCAAGCTAGTCCTGCTTCATCTTGGTTGTTAAGTTGACTTAATTAACCTACTCGTTAAATGAGTAAATCTCATGTAGTTTCAGCCCCCATCACTGATTTGGGACCTGTCATCCCTTGAAATTTCACCTGTTACACCTACCACAGTGCTCCTACCCACATTCATGGTAAACCAATTTGGCAAAACCTACTCCTTATTGTATAACTGCTTGCATTTCTGTTACTTGAAGTTAAGAATCTGTTTCTACCATTGTACGAGGTACATTCGGAAAGTAAGTTCCATTTCCCCTACTCTCCGGGGTAGCACTGCGATCGCAATTTAGCGCATGTGTAGTAGTTACTCTGTGTCAACCGGAAGGAAATTACGCCATTTTGAACTCGCTATTGTTGTCACACACTTCGTAGCGCTTGTTCGTAATGGTTAATTGAGAATCCCGCCGATTGTGAAATTCGATTGGTGATTCGTTTTCTTAATGCAAAAAATGTCAAAGCAATTGACATTCACCGAAAAAATCTGTGAGGTTTATGGGGACAATGTGATGAGTGATTCAATGGTGAGAAGATGGGTTCGACAGTTCAAAGATGGGCAAGATACAGTGCATGATGAGGAACGAAGTGGACATAAATCTGTGGTAAACGATGAACTGATTAGTCTAGACAGTGAGAAGATTAAATAAAACCGTAATTTTGCGATAAGTGCTCTTGCACGTGAATTTCTACAAGCTTCATGAACAGTAATTTACGAGATCGTTACTGAAAAACTTGACTTTCGTAAACTTTGTGAACGTTGGGTGCCTAAAACCCTTTCTGAACGGGACAAAAACCGCCAAATTTGCGACGAAGACACTTCTTCAGGGCTTTGGCTGGGACGTTTTAGACCATCCTCCATACAACCCTGACCTCCAAGCGATTTTCATTTGTTTTGCAATCTGAAGTCTTTTCTTGCCATTCAGCGGTTTATCTGCGATGAAGAGGTGAAAAAACGTGTTACCTCGTGGTTAACTACTCAGGCAGCAACATTCTACGAGAAGGGTGTACTTAAACTTGTACCACGCTATGACAAATGCCTCAAAAATCGCGGGAGTTATGTCAAAATATAGTCTAAGAGTTGTAGATTCTTTTGAAATAAATTTCTTTCTTGTATCTGTACTCGTTATTCTTTTATTTCAAAACGGAACTTACCTCGTACATATCTCAAGACATTGCCCAGGATGTATTGGGCGAGCAATAACTCTCCACCAGGAGGCAGGCAGTTGGATCATGTTTTACCATGATACAAAATGATGACAAATATGGGATGTTAAAACTTAAATTAGTTCTTACCTGTAACAAGAAACATAAATATACACTATTAAAAAAGACAATAATTTTTTGGTATCCCTTACTCTGGCAATAGTAAGCTATTTCCCCAGCTACCTTAAGGAGCTTAAATGTTTCTGCGTTATTCTTTTATCATGTAGTTAACGGTTAATGTTCTTACTTTGGAGAGTTTTGTGAACTGTTTGTTATACTGTAAGATGACAATGTGGTTGAAATGAAGTATCTCAAGAAGTTACTTATCACTTAATTGAAATTTATCCATAGCTAGATATACTATATTGTGAACAACAGGAGTAAAAGATTACTGGAATGTCATTTATAACTTTGTTACTGACAAAACCAGCCGATTCATTAGTCAGGATCATTTAATTAACACTGCAGTGGCTGCACCTGTCTTTGCGTGTACGGTTTTTGTATGGATTTGTATGTAGGCTTTTAATCTAAAATCAAATAATAGGAAAGAGGGGTTTGAACAAGTTATAATATTCGTTTTCATTAATTTTTATTGTCACTGAAGGAAATTGTGTTGACATATTTTAAGAAGGGGCTTTCCTTGGTTTCCGTTAACCTCCTCGCCGTTCCTAATATTTTAACAATTAAAAAATATACACCAGTTTAAAAAAAACAACAAGTGATAAACTAACTAATTTTCAATAAGTTTTTAACAACTATATAGTGTATACAAAATGTAGAATGAGAAAATATGAATCCACAAGATGGGTTATTTTATGGGTTATTCTATGTGAAAGGAGCGACAAATGGGTCTAACAGAGTGTGTATGGTGTTACAGGAGTTCGCCACCTTGACCAAGGAGTTGAACCAAGCGAGAGAACAGCTGTTGGAGCGAGAGGAGGAGATCTCGGAGCTCAAGGCGGAGCGAAATAACACCAGGGTGAGTACAGTTTATTGGTAAAAATTGTTACTTTTTATAAGAATTCAGACTTATCACTGACAATGTTTAAGACACAGTAAGGGCGCCAGGTCTGTACTCAATTCCATACAGTAAGCAAATGGTGACACAATAGAAACAACCCCTAAAGAATATTACATTAGCAATGCATATAAAAAGGTGGTTACATTTGTAAAGGACAGACAGCTGAAAATAATACTTGTTGAAATAAATATTTAAGACCCTACCTAAAAAGGTTTATTTTAAACTTAATTCCACTCATTAATAAGTTAATGAACTAAAAAGATCTCTTAAAAGCTTTTTTTTACAACAGAGAAGATTAAGCTTCTGTTTTTTTTTTTTTTTTTTTTACTTTCTCCCCCTATACCATAGTATATGGAGAAAGTTTTGTTTTTGTCAAAATTATCGAGTTTGAGTTTTGAGTGGATATATTCGTTTTGGGTCCCCCTGGACCCAAAAAAGTGGTTTTCGAAGTGATGTCTTTGTGTCTGGATTTGTACAGAGCTAGAGAACACACCTGTGGTACGATTTCGATTAATTTGGTATGTAGGTTCTAATCCATGGTATCTCCAGGCGTTTTTTTCATTTTTTAGAAAAAGATCCGGTTTTGATTTAACATAGTATGTTATGTTCCTTACAATTTTGATAGTTTTTTTTTTAATTTTTTATAAATATTTATTTATAATGGGGATTTTCCTATAAAACCCCATAAAATAACGGAAAAATAGGATTTTCCCAAAAAGGCCCGAACGATTTTGATAAAAATTTAGTATGTTATAGTCCTTTATATTCTGAACAAAATTGTACAAATTCCATTTCTGTAAAAATTACGGTTCAAAAGTTATTGTAAATTATGTAATTTTCCCATAAACCGCCATAAAATAACAGAAAAATCGGATTTTCCCAAAAATGGCCCGAACGATTTTGATAAAAATTTAGTATGTTATAGTCCTTTAAATTCTGAACAAAATTGTACAAATCCCATTTCCGTATATTTACTCTCACCACTTACACATGATAAAGGTTGTTGACAAACTTATGGGAGAAAGTATGTGTCAGAATGCTGATACCGTTTATTTTGTTTTTTTTTTTTATAAGAAGCCTATGGAATTCTTTATGCAGGTAGTTTGTAATTATTTCAGATTAAGTATCTATACAAATAACAAGAATGTTGTCAACAGATTGAATAATTTTAAATTTCTATGCAATTTTAGGCTAGTTTTTCCAACACTGTTTTTATATAGACATTTGTACCATGATTGAATTCACACCACAGCCCAGTGACTTCATCAAAGTATTTTCCCATTATTTTGCTGCCTAAGTTTTACGGTCGTGGCCGTGGATCATTGACGTAATAAGGCCAGTGTCAACTTTAGTTGGCCTCAAATGTCGAGATACGTCGCTATTCATCAGACTCCGATCCTATATTCTACTCATGAATATCTCAAAATAGTTATTCTGGGCTATGATTCTTCACCTCGTTGAATAGATGGTGGTTACAGCAAAGTAATAGGTGTAGGTAGTTAAAAAGGTTGGTAAATATTGTGATATGCAGTTGCAGGCATTTTGATTCTTGATACTTTGAGATAAGTTTGATCTATTAAATTTTATTTTATAAAATTGTTTTAAATAAGAAATTATGGTCAGTGCAAATGACTGTATTCGTTGACAAAATATTAGATATAAAATGTTATTTAACACAATCATGGAGAGTGGCATTGGTGTCAGAGTTTGTTAACTAACAGTTAGAAAAAAACTGTTTTGTCTTTCATTATTCAAAATGCTCTGTTATTGAATTTGTTTTTCTCTTGTTTTCATTGATAACATTATTTTTATGTTGAACTTAAAAAAGTTACAATTATTAGTTAATATTTAAGTTAAATTATTATGAAAATGTCTTCAAGTTGCAGTTGTAGAAATTTTAGTCATCACAATATTTTACTTTCGACACTTCAAAGTTCTATATAATAGAATGACAAATGATAAAGGACGACATTGAAAAATTATAGTTAGCACACCTACATTCAACCTATCCAAGAACACTCTCTTCCACCATTATTTTTGCCAGTACTAGAAAGTTCAGTTTCTGCTCAACTCGTTTAGACAAAACATTTGTTGACATTGAGGTGTGTTGGGGTTGAGTGAGGAAATGACGTTTAAAAGGTTCCAATCACATTCTTAAGCCCCTCGCTGTTAGGGTCCCAGACAAATGACAAACTCTCCTGACTTGGTATCTGAACAAGAGTAAAAGGTCTTAACAATGATTTTTGTACGCGCTTATACACACCGTTACATTCATGACATCAAAACCTAGATGATATATAGATTTCTTTAGAGGGGTCATGTTTATTTATGAACTCCTGATAGTAGTGAAATAAAGTGGTATAAACCACTGTGGAGTAACACTCTTAAACTTGTTCATACTTGAAAGACACATAAAATGCATTAATCATTTCTTTTTTTATGTTTTGATACTGGACCCAACCGTCCTTGATTCGATAAATTTAGGGTGGGTTTTACATCCTGACTAGGAGTCGGTAACAAAGCTACACGGATCATTTCACACCATTCTACACTCATCCTTCACTCATATTTAGGTTGAAATATGCACCTAGGTGGCGTCCCCATCTCAATAATTGATAATTGAATCTTAAAATACCAATATATTTCAAAATCTCCAAGTTGATACGTCCAACATATTCTCTAGGTAAAACCAACGCTTTAGTAAAGATGTATTTTTAATGGACAGTATTTCAACCAACTAAATCCCCAAGGATTGGAGTTAGTTATTGCTGAGGTGTTTGGTGTTGGATATGATTTACTGCATGAGTAATAGGTTCACTCTCAGGTGTGAGAATCACCGAGTAAGCTTCGAGTAATTTACATGGAAATCAACCTCGCGATTGTCGGGGTTGGAAGGGTTGGAATCATCATTTGATGAATGAGAGTATTAAGATCAGGGAAGTTATCAGTGTTTTTTATTCTCGTTTCTTTTATTCGTGTACAGTAGTTTTATTATAAAGGTTTGACAGCATTTTTATTATGATTGTGCAGTCTTATGTTCTAATGCGGTTTTCAGATATTGTATGGTTCTAAGAAAAATGATAGGCCTACCTAAGAATCGATCCCTCACGAAAAGTTTTTTTTTATGTCCTCCCTTCCCTTAAAAACGTTAAAATATAAGTTAAAAAATAGATGCAACTATTTACTTGTATGTTAGCTAGTTTTTCTAACCACTGTATTTTTCTAATTCATCCTAAATAAAATTACACTACTTTTGTAAGAAAATGTCCATTTAGTTGTATTCAAATACAACAGCAAAAGAACCAAATAAAATCATGACAGTTTATGGAGGTGTTTTTCGGGTCAACCCTATCTTCACTAATAGACTGTTGCCAGACGTTTTACCCTTACTATGAAGTAGCATCGTCTGTGGCTAGGCTGAGTATAAATCAGGGAGGTCCGTCCTGGTATATTTATCAGTAAGAAGATCTAACAAAATCAATTCACCACTTTAAAAATGCAGTCAATTTTAGAATCAAAATGGGTGTAGTAGAGTTTAACCACCAACAGAGTGTATTGATTACAGTTACTAATTTACAAAGAATATGGTAACTTTTTAATCGATTGAAACTGATCAGATGGCTTAAAAAATCTATAGTTACACATCGTCTATCACAGTTAGAAAAAAGAAGGAGAAAGTATGAGTAATTTAAGACTCTGGCACACTCTGATAGCGACTTATTAGAATATACATATTCCTATATGTACAAGCTCCAGCTGGTACATATAGATGAAATGTCTACTTCAGTATCCAAAAGTCAATGATAGTACCTTTCCTACAGAGTTGTCTTTGTCTTGATCATGACGCTCAACTCTTAGAAATTCGGGACATCTCTTCTAAACAAAAGTTTAACAAACCTACTATTAAATCTAGTAGAAAATTCATTCCTGAAAATTTAACCAAATTCAAAAATTATCTTGCACGGGAAACGTGGACTGATTTATATTTAGCGACTGTAGAGGAAAAATATGATGTATTTTTTAATATCCTTATGTTTTATTTTGATAGTTGCTTTCCTAAGTTAAAGTCTCGTGCCTGTTCAAAATCAAAAAATTGGATTACTCCGGAACTTAAGTTAGCTAAAGATGAAATAATACTATTAAGCCGAGAAATTAGGGTAAATAAGGATAAGTTTTTAATAAAAAAGCTAAAAGACCTGAAAAGAAGCTACGCAGCCCAATTAAATAGTACTAAACGACATTATATCGAAAGCAATATAAGAAATGCCAGTAATGTCTCAAAAACTACTTGGAATATTATTAATAGGGAACTAAACAGAAACCGAGTTCGTGAAAATGAAATCCAATTAAAAATTGGTAACTTTGAATACACTGAACCTGATGATATATGCGAAATATTTAATGATCATTTTGTAAGTTTGGTAGATAGGATTGGGGACTTGTCTTCGGGAGCTCTTGGTGCAATCTCAAATCCTGTAAATTCAGTAAAATTTTATTTAAAGCCTGTTGATGAAGCTGAAGTAGACAAGATTCTTTCTTCTTTTGAAAACAAGTTTACCTGTGGTTTTGATGAAATTCCTATGCCTGTTTTAAAAAGTGCTAAAGATGTTTTAGCTAAACCATTGGCTCATTTAATCAATTCTTCTTTCATTTCAGGAATATTTCCAAGTAAATTAAAAATCTCTAAAATTAAAACATTACATAAATCTGGTAGCAATAAGGACCCTTCTAATTACAGACCATTATCTACTTTGCCATGCTTATCAAAAATCTATGAGCGTGCCATGCATTCATGATTAATGAATTTCTTAGAAAATAATAGCTTATTTGATACTGAGCAACATGGATTCAGGCCCGGTAAATCTGTTGTCACTGCAACAATTGATTTGATAGAAACTATAATTGATGCTATTGATAATGGTGAGAGCACTGTCGGGGTGTTTATGGATATTAGTAAAGCCTTTGATAGTGTCTGCCATTCAACATTAATTTCAATTTAAAAAAAATTTGGTTTTGCTAACAATGCTTTAAATTGGTTTCAATCTTACCTTGAAAACAGATTACAATATGTGGAAATTAATCATATAAATAATTTCAACCAATTAAGAAATGTAAAATCCTCTTTGAGGTGTATCAAATATGGTGTACCTCAAGGTTCGATTCTTGGTCCCATTTTATTTCTTTGTTATATTAAAGGTCTGCCAACAGCATTAACAGATAATATGGCAAAATTGTGTCTATATGCTGATGATGCAAATTTGTTGGTTTCTGGTAAATGTTTTAATAAAATACAAGAGTCGGCCCAAAACAATCTGTTATCTATAAAAAACTACTTAAACTTCAATAAATTATTTCTCAATTTTAATAAAACCAATTTTATGTCATTCAGTACAGCACAAAAGAAAAATCCAGAATTCTGTATTAAAGTAAATGATCTCCAAATTACTCAGGTAAAGGTAACAAAATTTTTGGGTTTATTGCTTGATGAAAATTTATCATGGTCACTCCATACGGATAAATTGTTACATAAAATTTCCTCGGGTTTATTTGCCTTAAGAAATCTGTCAAAATTTTGTTCACTTGAGATATTGCTTAAGGTTTACCATGCACATATCAACTCACACATTACATTTGGTATTGAGTTATATGGAGCTACAAGTAATCAAAATTTACAAAGTATTCTAATCCTTCAAAAAAGGGCAATAAGAATCATGTTAAATCTGGATGATGAAGAATCGGCCAAAAAATATTTTCCTAAATTAAAAATTCTAACCGTTTACAGCTCATATATATTGCACACTATTATGCATGTGAGGGCTTCTGAAGACAAGGTGCCACTGCTGGGGGATAATCATAGATATAATACTAGGCATAAAGATTATCCATCCGTAACACAACACAAACTGGAGTTTTATAACAAGAAACCAACAGCTGCAGGTATTAGGTTTTTGTACCATCTACCAAAAGAAATATTTTATATAAAAAACATTAGGTCTTTTAAAAAAAAACTTAAATTGTTACTAATTGATAGAGCATTTTACTCATTTGAAGAGTTTTACAACATGTAATTACATTAATTAAATTTTCCTGTTTTATTTAGTTTAACCAAGTATTTTTAATTAGTAATAAGCTGTTTTGACGCCATTCTGTATTTATGCATATATTTCATGTAGGTATATAATGTATAAATCTTGAATAAAGCTTTTCTGATTCTGATTAATGATAGTACCTTTCCTACAGAGTTGTCTTTGTCTTGTAGTTGCTGCTGGAACACCTGGAGTGTCTGGTGTCTAGACATGAGAGGTCGCTGAGGATGACGGTGGTCAAGAGACAAGCAGCCGCACAGTCCGGGGTGTCCAGCGAGGTCGAGGTCCTCAAGGCACTCAAGAGTCTGTTCGAACATCACAAGGCTTTGGACGAAAAGGTGAGTCAAGTAGATTTATCAAACAGTTTCTCACCTTCCCTAACAACCATCATACTCGTTTATTTCTGAGGCCTGAGCATAGTTGGTAACATATCTTACATTGTCTTTCTCCTCTGTGTATCAGGTCTAAATATAGTTGGTAGTGAGACGTGAATCTTTTAACCTATAATTCAGCCACACTATACATTCTTGGTGAATACCTGATCTAATACTGTTTTGATAGGCCTCCATTAGACCTCTATGTTTTTTGTGGTTTTGTGTTGTTTTGTTATGAATGTTCACATGGTACTTACACATTGTTTTACATTGTTTAAGTGCAGTTTGTTGTTGTTATTTTTTATGAAATTGCTTCAGACAGGTTTAAAGCCATGAGACAAACCCCAATCATATTTCAAACATATGTAACTCAAGGAGTATTAAGTTATATGGAGCCTTACATGTTTCATGCTACACTAAGTTTCATAACTAAGAAGCATAACTAAGTTAAAGTTCCATGAAATTCAATCTATACACATTACCCCTTGTAATTGTGCACACCCTGATTGAGATTTGGGTTTTGCTTGAGATGTTTTGTCATTTACTGAAGTTGAAGTAACAATGAATCAATCACTGAAACATAACTATAGCAAAATTTCAGTAAACCCATCTACAACTTAAATGAGTGACAATTATTGGTTACCGTATTGGAGAAATGTTAGCAAATTCGGTTTGGGTACTATTAGGTATGAAGTAAATAGTAGGATTAGGTTTTTACACTGGTTCTTAAGTAATTGAATAATACTGGCTACAAACTTTGGCTCAACAGACTTGCATGTAAACATTTTACATAAGAGGAACGACATTTTCCATGTAGTTTAAAGATAATATTACCTTCATATCTGTTTGCTCATAATTTAAGCTTCCCCAGTTTGGCTTGGTTTGACAGATAAATACTTCAAGTCCAGTGTTATCCCAAAATGAATTAAACTAAAATCTACCAATTTTGTTACTTATGCTTTAGTGAATGTTCATAATACACTGCTTTCTATGTAACAACTATTTATTAAAAGGTACTACTATAATTAAGTGGGGAACAACACACTTATAATGTAAATAAAATACTCATTCAATGTAAACTATTCAAAGCAGGCGTAAAAGGTTTTAAACGTAGGACACAAGTAAAGGCCTTTTAATAAGATAGGAACTAAAAGCCTCAGGCATTTTCTTCCTCCCAAACACGTTAAAAGTTTGGCAGTTGTCTCTGAAAGTTAAAAAGTCAAAACAACCCTTTCAAGAGTAGTAATACTATTTGATCACGAGGGAAATATATCTGACGGCCTATTAAACATTATAATTGAACACATAAAAATCGGGTTTTAAATTATTTCTGCATAGGTTGTACAAAACAAAATTTGTTGCGATATTTTTTTGTTGTCATTTTATACATTACTAAAACAGTCATATCACTACAATACACTAAAAATAACTCATAGTTCTAACATTATTATCATGCAAACAGCTAATATGCTATGCATATGGGCTGCAAAATTACTTTTTGAAATAAACTCTCTCCTTTCTTTCTGCCCAAAAATGAATATCAGAATACTCATACATCACACATTCAGCCGCTGACAACCTTTTATTGTTGAGTCTAGGAGATAAGATGCAGCCGAGGTTTATTCAAATGCTTTCAATATGTGCAGATGCAATCCCTGCTCTTATTCTTGCTCTCATGATGGATTCACCTGATAACGTTTTGACAAAGGATTGTCACTTTTGATGTGGAGATTTATTTTATTTTTTAGACTGCTTATCAAATATACTTAACTGGTACAGTAGCATTGTAGAAAGGTGTGGAATTTAAAATTATGATAATTTTTTTGTAGTTTAACAATTGCTGTAAATAATTACTGAGCTACTTACTAGTAGTTTTCAGATTTTAGTGACAAAAATATTTTTTTAAATATATGTTTCACTTCAAAAAATTCTTAATGATAAACATTTTTCCAAAAAACATTTAGAGATGAGTGTTTTAGATCAAAATACTTTCAATAGCGAATATTTTATCTTTTAGATGCATATTTTTGGGATGAAACTATTTTAAAAGATGAATACTTGATTTCATCAAAATGTAATTATTACTTCTCGTATCTTGTAGGATAATGAATGACTTACGTTTATCAATATTTAACATTCTTTGTGAAGTTATTAATATTTATTTGTTTAAAGTTCAGTGAGGAATGTGTTTTAAACCAAAGTACAACTGATTTTCAAAATTATTACCATTGTTTTATATTTTGTATAGAACCCCTACCAAATGCGTTCTGAGGATTAACTATTAGAATACTCTTGAGTTAACATTTGAATGTGGATGAAATTATAGTTTTATGTCCCAGGTTAGGTGTAAGGGCTCTAACTTAACCCAAATAAATAAAATATTTTTCATTTAATTTCAAAGTTAAGATAAAAAAAGTTGTTATTAATGTTGAAATGAAATGAGAACCATGTTTTTTTTACTCAATATCATTCTACAAGGGCCGCAGGGGAAGGTATTGGGGCGAACAAGTCTTTAATTAGTGTTCTCCCTTATGGTGACTGAACTACATTGAGGGCGCAGAGATCTTTGGGGAGGCTGATCTAAAGGGGATAGCTCTCAACTCTCTCACCGTCAAGTTTTTATCTTAGTCTTACGATTGATTGGAACCTTCTCAGTTTTGGGGTGAAAAAACACTGAAAGACTTTCCATTGAATGATGAAATGAATTTTTACCCTTGTAGGGTGAGGATTTTAAGAAGTTATTAAAACTCTGTTCGAATATTGCAAAATTTAAGTTTTTTTAATTGAACACCTAGTAATAACAATATATGTGATGACTACAAGTATTAAATTTGACTAAATAAGTACTTACATGTTTTAATATTTTTTTTAAGAATCATTAAATCATACTGTACATTAATTCATAAAATTACAGTAATAATATTTTCATGACTTTTTTGTGTCACTTATTAAATGAACAAACTCTTAATAAGTTTTATTCCAAACATTTCAAATGTACGAGATGTTGGCTAAATTCTTTCTTGTTGGGTGAACATGAAGAATTTGTTTTGAAATAGAATTGCTTTGAAATATTTCTTTATCAACGGAAAAGTTCAAACAATCTAAGGATTCCTAATAAAATATTCAGAGGAGCGAAAAAGTTTAATTTATTATAAATTGCTTGTGTGCTTATTGTACTTCAACTTAATACCAATATGTAGTGTGCCTTTATTCACATATAAGGGTGAATATTCTACAAGCTTTACTAATTTAAAAACACAATCCTAAAATATTTGAAACAGTCTCCTAGTACCTTTATTTTTGTGTCTTTCAAAATCTACATTTTTCTTACTGTTATATCTTACTTATTTAAATAAATTTTTACTGTTGTATGTTTGAAGTGAAGATTTACATTCCCACTTGGCTATTATGAGGGTTTGGACAATTCAAATCGTAAAAAAATGCCATTGGTGTCGAAACCCACAGAAAAAATAAATGTAAAAGTGGTTTTGGTGAGAAGAATAGGTTAAAATCAAATCAATTCTCTATGACTTTTAAATGTGATTATTCCCTGACCTTAAGGGGCTAGGAGACTATCTTGCCCAAAATACACTTAAGCTGCATGCCCACTGGGTCGGTATGGTACGGCCGGTACGGGATTTTTCAAAACTTAAAAACATTTAACTATGAGCATGCACCCACTGCAATGTCGTGATTTTTTAAGTATTAAACAAAACTTAACATCATCTTCCATAAGGTTGGGAACAAAGTTGAATTCACCACAAATCAACCTCTCCCTATTGATGTTGTGAATCCAAAACCTGTTTCTTAACCAAGTATTCTCCTCTTTTTCTATTAAAAATGCACTCACTACCACCCCAAACTGACTTCTGTTTTGGTGAAAGTCGTATGGAGGACAGTGCCGAACGCCTGAACAACGGAACGCACAATCCAGTTTGAGCACCCCCTCTAAAAAATTCTGAGACGGCCGTGTCAACCCTACCAACCCAGTGGCTTTATCTAGATAAGAAAAAATGGACAAGGGAAATAAAAAGATTCTCAGACAAGTAAAGTTATTTCTGTATTTTAATCCCACTTTTTAAGTCTTGCATTATTTTCAGTCAAGAGATTTTTGAAGCATTTTTTTTTATAAGAAATGTACATTCAACTAAAATCATTCTCATTTTTGCATACTTTGACCACATCTTCAACTTTTTCACAACTTAAACAAAGCGAACTTACTACACTACATTTCCGCTAGATGGTAGTTGTGACAGGCTAGTGGTTGTATTTTGTTTGCTAAGCAATATGTCTAGAGGTGACTGTAAGTTTTCAGTAATGTATTGTAATAGATGCAGATGTTACATGTGGCAACTCACCTTGGGTAGAGACAGGCCTGTTGGGAGAACTCGTGTAGACTGCCCACTTGGGGTCGATGATCGCGTTAACATTGGTTTTAACTGGTTAAATTCACATTGTTGCCAACATTTTATTTATTTATTGTTTGTGGACACATGAGAATGGATTTAGTGTTGAAAACGAAGGAGTTGAAAATTTTCTGCTTGTTCTGAAAACAACCGTCTTAATATAGAGAGTATACATTAGTATTGTGTACGTATACTCCAAATCAATGACTTATATTCTTTCTCAGCTTTTTTTTTTTTTTTTGTAATTTTAAGGGTACATTTTAAATTTAAATTTTCTATATAAATTTAATACATAATAATAACATTGATACATTTAATAAATGTTGACTTATTTTAATATTTTATAAAGTTTTTAGAACTAAAATTATAATTTACCATTATCGTACATTCGTCATCATTTTGACCCTCCAAAGCCAAAAAGAGGTTTCACAAAAATGTATATTAGCCGCAGGGAGGTTGGTCATTAATAACCATCTTTATCAACATATTACCACCCTAGGGTGCACAGTGTTAGTGCACCTCTCTCTTTGTTGGGTAGTGTGCTTCATACAGCATCAA